ACAACGTACTCATTTACAGCTGAGTAGACTGGAACAAGCGGAGCAAAGTATCTTGCTCAAAGATACAACACAGTGCCGTGCTGTGACTCGAACACGCAACCCTTCGGTCAGGAGCCCGGCGTCCTAACACTAGACTATCATGCCTCTGTAGAATGATGGTATGATAAGAAATGTTGAAATAACTAACAAAATAAACGCTTGTACTGTGACCTCTGTAGAAACTTACAACATGTTTGTGACGTAAGTGACGCTATTAGAATCACCTGCTAATAACACACAATAAACACACACGAACATTGAGGGATATCCATAAATATGTTCACATAAACATACATTAAAATATGTAAAAAAGTAAATATCAACCTCGAACTCAAATGGATGAAACCAAGCAAATCTCTGCCTTGACAAACCGCATTAACTGAAATACACTCTGAATTATTCCTCTAGCTAAAGAAAATGACGTTGATTAACAACTCCCTGACCTCATTTGTCCGTGAAAAGTGACCAGTCCGCTACACTTGACCAGCGAGGTCATTTGACATTTCTAGCCCCCGGACATAAGGTGTCAACGGTCAGTTTTATAAATTGACCACCAACAGACCGCATCAACCTGGTACGTACGTACAGTTCACCTGATCTGAAACCAGTCCACACTTCAAAATATTAGGGAGTGTTTTGTTTACATGTAAAAAATAAGGTTAAGTAAGACAACCTTACCTCAAACCACAAGAATACGCTGTAATGTGTATGATGTATATAACCGTAAGTCTGTATCACATGTACAATGTGTAAGGTAGCATATACCCTTAACCTAGCACAAATCACAGGTATACTGTGTAAGGTAACATATAACCTTAACCTAACTCAAATCCCAGGTATAGTATGTAAGGTAGCATTTAACCTTAACTATAACACAAATCACAGGTAAATGTGTAAGGTAGTATATACCCTTAACTATAACACAAATCACAGGTATAACATGTATGGTAGTATATAACCTTTAACTATAACACAAATTACAGGTATAACATGTACGGTAGTATATACCCTTAACTCTAACACAAATAACAGGTAAATGTGTAAGGTAGTATATAACCTTAACTCTAACACAAATCACAGGTATAACATGTACGATAGTATATACCCTTAACTCTAACAAAAATAACAGATGTAATGTGTGAGGTAGTATATAACCTTAACTCTAACACAAACCACAGGTACAATGTCTAAGGTAGCATATAACCTTAACTCTAACACTAATCACGGGCATAATGTGTAAGGTAGCATATAACCTTAACTCTTATCCTAATCACGGGTATAATCCGTGTCATTTAAACAACGAATCTTTTTGCAAATGTTGTTATGGTCCTATAACACATATTGATATTGATGACAAACTTAATAAGTTTGTCAACAATAGCAATGTGTGTTATAGGACCATAACAATATTTGCTGAAATATTCATTTTGATAGAGTCGTTATGCTTTATTAAGTTATTTTGAACAGCAAATTAAGTCTTGACAGCAATGAAATTGATGACGTCCCAAAAGAGATTGATGACGTTACAATAGCAAATGTTGTTATAGTGTCATAACAACATTTGCCCTCTCAATGCATTGCAATAGAAGGATGCAGAGCACACAGTTACATACTGTGCTTCATTCTCGGGCCACTGTGGCCTGTGTTAATCTGCATTTTAAACGGATTTTTTCCCTTTTCAGACGAGAAAACATCCTTTTTTTCTGTATCATCTTTTGAAGGAAATTTTCAAATGAACGGAATTTTGTTTACGAATAGATTTTATAGCTACAAACGTTTGGATAAAAAAGTTTAATATATTTTCCAAAGAATAAAAAAAAAGTCCAGGTTAAGGGGGGCGTTCGTTTTGTAAGCGGAAAAAAATCTGCCGGACTTTTGGCACCAAATGTGACATATTAAAACCCGTGAATATTCGGGTTACGTCGGTAGTGCTCGGGTTACCATGTAGGTCCAGTCACCCATAAGGTAAATTCGCTAGTGCTAGGTTATTTTCTTTCAAATATTTTATAACCTGGCGTGAAATTGTACCCGGGTTCCATCAATCCCCGGATACGCCAGAGTGAAATCCGCCGAACACGACAACAATAACCACTTTGTTAGAATTACAAAGCTGCTTGTAATGAGAGATGCCGTATAATGTCGGTGATTTCACGGCTCACAAACACGTGTTTAAATAAGGCTGAACGAATAAAAGCTAAAACGATGGTAAGTAATTATTCTTTCCTATATTATCTGATATTTGTTTATTTGGATTTTATACGAAAGCAATTCAAACGTCACTGACCAGAATTGTAAATGATTTGGTCCATGGTTTGTATGTAATTTGAATGCTGTGTTTTGACCAAGCCGTGTCACGTGGTGTCAGGCACGTGCTTTATTTGGCATGTTGGGTTTGTAGCATACAATATGATATGAGCATTATGACATCCGTAATCAGAGTTTAAAGCGAAACCTGTGTAAATTCGACACTACATGTTCCAACACTTCTTGTTCTAAATAGAGAGGTTCCGGAAGACACTTGTTAACTAACAGGCTGGACATTAATAAAATTTTACATAACTTATATAAGAGTTATGAAGGTGTCAACACACTTATTGTCATTGTAGTAGGGAAATACGCTTCTTTTGTTTTATATCGAGGGGAAAAACAGAGAATTGGGTTTCCCAACCGCAAGGGCAATATTTTTTTCTACGATTCTGAATCAGAACAACAACAAATCAGTGAATATGATCTGGCTTCCGCGCCGTTGTTGTCGTCTGCTTCAGATACTCGGAACCTAAATGTGGTGCCTTTGCTGGTTTTTCTAGAGTGGCTCCGAATAAGGGAAATACGCCAAGGGAAACTCAAGTGTATGAAGAGAATATGACGTTTTATTTCCCCGCCATGCCATCAATATAATCCAATCATGCACGATGTTCTAAATATATTTTGTATGATAGAGGATGTTCTTCGTTTTTTTATTGATAATAGTTGAATTTCATGTTGGGTAAATATTTCAATATTTTTCACTAGTGCTGAGCACGAGTAAAATATTTAACACATGAATGAAATATAATTGTTACCTGACTCGCTATATAAATGCATAATATTAATCAATTTCCATTTGGGGCGTTCTGCGGCCTCGGGAAACAGTTCATCTGGAGGGTCCCAACTCCTCGGGAAAACAGTTTTGACTGTTGACTGATAAGGCATGGAACAACTGTATATTGTTACCTGACTCGCTATGTAAATGCATATTAATCAATTTCGACTGTTTCCCAGATTGTGTGCTACCGTAAAACTGTTGACTGGTCACCGTAAAGATGTTGACTGGTCACGTGATGAACCGGTGCTTACTACCCTACGACTGTTGACTGGTCACGTGTTAGGTAATCGAATGATCAAGCGTTTTTGGTACTGGATTGTTGACAGTCGTCTGTCGGTAGATCTAAACATCACATTCGACATGGAACTTTTTGTTCTTCATTGGTCAAGTAACAACACAGTTGTTTCATGCCTTATCAGTCAACAGTCAAAACCATCTTCCCTCGGAGTTGGCTCCCAACTCATCGGGAAAATAGTTTTGACTGTTGAATGATAAGGCATGAATATAATGACATTGGCTACCGTGAAATGAGTATTCATCACCCGCAAAAAAACTGGCTTGGGCTTTCACAGCAAAATACATTCTAGAAACACATAAATAGTATCAGTCTCAATCAATCTTTAGCAGTTAAATGATATAAGATGTTTTGGACATTGTTGTATTGACATTTTTATTTCCCCCTAACCACTGGTCAACGGTAGCCAACATTTGATCACTTGTTCGGGTTATTGTGAAAAGTACAAAAAAAAACATTTGTCACAGTGGAAAATATCAACCTTGTATTTCACTGTAAAACCTTGTATTTCAAAGGAAAAAATGTAATGAAATGAGTTATATTTTAAAACAGATACAAATAATAAATTCTTAAGTTAAGGAACACATCTAATGACATTGTATTGTATTGTTGATAGACTATCATCAACAACTATCAACTGTTACCCATCAATATCAACTTGTATTAATTAACATCCCATCAGTAATATTTGACTTAATTTATACATGTATATCAACATGAAACTGTGGATCCTAAATATTTCGTGAGATATTCAATTTCAAAAAAGCAAATACATGTATTTATCAGACCAAATAAAAATGCTATGCACCTCCCGGTTATTCACTCTTTAATTTAAGTCCTAGCAAATTATCCGTTTAAAACATATTAAAAAATGTTCTGCGAAAATTTAATGATACTATATATATAGTATACAGTAAGTTTATTGTGCGCGTAAGTGGTTAGAGCGCCGAATTGTTAGCAGCGTTCCGTCAGGCAACAATGATTACCTCAGAGTGTCACAACACCTATCAAGTCAGTGTGTAACACGTGTGTGGTATATACCGCGTTATGAGTGAAGTCACACCTAGATGTAGTTTGCTACTTATGTGTGTCAAACCTCTCAGTTAATCACACCAATGTGGTGTTCGTGTGATGGCATTAAAAAGTGTACATAGGCATTAAAAAGAGGCATAAATGGACGTTGATTTTTTTTCTTTATTTCTTTATTTATATTTTATATACGCATTAAACGATATTATGATTATATATTGTAACCTCTCCAGTGTCAGCCGTTTTTAAGAATTGAAAAATAAATCATCTTCACAAGCTAGGATGACTTGATATGTGTTTTTATTTAAGTTTAACTACTCAAATATGTGTCTTTCTGCACCAATTACAAATATCTCCATTGATAACGCTAATATGATATTTCTACCTGACAATTGGAAAAGAATAGGAAAATGTCATTCTTTTCATCAAAGTTTGTTTAATAATTCCAGTGACTGCATGCAAGGGGTAAGATATTTTGTTGTTGTTCGTCCCAGTCGCTGGAATTACAGTATAAAGGGAGACAATCCACATAATTGCTATATAATTATCTCCCTTTAAATGTATTGGGATTGTGTGCACGCTTCCATTGTTTACATTACGCAAACGTGTTTGGAGTTGTGATCAATGTACTTGTGTGTATATCATCAGCGGCCACACACATGTAAACAACCGATGGATTGAAAAGTAAGATATATACAGTTAATTCTGCCGTTCACGTTTCAGAAATCAAACTCGCATTTGTTTCACACGGAAATGTTTATAATGTGGCTGATAAAAGGGAGGCAACTCAAGGAAGAGCTTTTGTAAGGGAGCACACTACTATACAAAATCAGAGACGTATATGTAACGTCTCTGATAATATGATCCATTTGCACATGATCATATGATCCATTTGCACATTTTGAACATGTTTTGTTAATTTTTTAATGCATTCTATTTAAGTAATTGAGGTAATTGTGCCTTATATGATTATGTCCGGAAGGGCTTATGGTGATATGTTTAAAACTAGTTGTTTGTATACTATAAACACCAAATTTATCTAACCCTCCGTATACCGATACCTGTTTACTCTGACAGATTGTACCACTGGATATCGTTACCTGTGTACATTGACCACATTCTATACAACGAAGGATTGATGGCCGACATTTCTGATCAGTGTCCAGTTGCTACTCATCCTCGGTATACGCTGGTGCTTGTACGACACGGAGAAAGCGAATATAACAGGGAAAACAGGGTAACCGGCTGGGCTGATGCCGACCTGACAGATCGGGGGGCTGAGCAGGCCAGGTGTGTCGGACAGGTGAAAATTCATTCCTTACACAACATAAAACATTAATGACCAAACAAATACAATGACTACCTGATTTTTAAAATAATAATTAACAAATAGACATTTCTTGTTCAAAATAATTTGAATTCGGGGATTTCCGCCATGATATGGTTATGTTCTGTGAAATCAAATTCAAAATATAACTGGCTAAAAACCGTCTTTAATTTGGAAGATATTTTTTTTTCATTTTATACATTGATACATTGGGTGCCAAATTAAGACGTCTCGATTATTCTGTATCAATGCAAAAAATCGCATGGCTCTTGTACAGTCAGCATACAACCCACTGAATACATGATAATTCTATTTGTATGGCCTTTTGAAACGCAATGAGATTGTATTTCCTTTTTTTTATATTTAATCTTACAATTTTCAATTCATAATAATTAGAAAAAATGTCATTTGATAAGTTAAACTTAACGAAAAACAGCGACAACTTGCCTTTAACTGTGTGTAAATTAAATGAATATTCGAAAGGCGTGTCAACTCGGTTGACTCTCATCGGGAAACTGAAATAACGCAAAAGAAATCTCTCGAAATGAAAAGTGAACCAAATTTTGTGACTTAGTATTCCAGTGAAAAAGAATCGTTTTACAGAGGGCCGTTTAGATTTTGAAGAATGGTCCTATTTGTTGCAATTACAGTTACCCTTTTGTGGATTATATTTTTCAATAAAGTTGATTATATTTACACAGATACTCAAGAAAAATGGCCTCATGTTTGACCTGGCGTTTACAAGCTTCCTGAAGAGGGCGATCAAGACTCTTTATTGGATACAGGACGAATTGGACCTACATTGGATCCCGGTCCACAAACACTGGCGGGTCAACGAACGCCACCAGGGGGCGTACGAGGGAAACGAAATGAACAGCACCAACAAACACAAAGTGATAAAGAACGGAAAACTTATAAGGGCTTTTGTCCGATAGAATATTAAAACATAATTCATATAAGTTTTAACCAAACTACTGAGTACTGGTAATCATTGCATTCACATAATGTCAAAATAACTGGTACCTGTCTTATTAACTATCCTCTTCTGAGGTTTAAGTCACGTTCAAAATCTCTTTTTGCAGAACTTTGTTTTACAAGTTTTCAATTTGGCGGCCATTTTGAAAATATGAATTTCTTACCCTCCACTTTATATGGTTGGGTTTAGTTTATAATGGGAATTAATGGCGACACTCTCTAATTGTTAGGTCTCTGCTATAACAGTTGTAGTAAAAACTGTTGTCTATTAAGATGGCGGTGATACAAAAAAAATATCGCTCTTTTCGATCCAGAAAGAGGCCTGGACGTTTGAATATTGTCCACCAGAGTTGGAGGAGTCGGACGACAGATGGCGGAGACTGGTGGACGATCCCAAATACAAGGTATCCTGCTGTCCATACTTCATCAAAACCCCTTAGTGTAACAAAAAACATGAGATAAACAAATCCCTTGGTGTAACAAATAAACTGATTGTAACAACAAATTGAGATAACTTTGCGTAACAAAAACCCGAGATAAAAAAAATTGTGTAACGGAAATAACTTCTGAGATAAACAAAACCCTTGGTGTAACAAATAAACTGAGTGTTACAACCAATTGTGCTACAAATTTTAAGGATAAAGAAATATCTAGTCTCAAAAGAAACATTGTAAGCGCTGTACATTACAATGTATATACGACAAAGCAGGGACAGTATATAGAGCCACCAGTTCGAGGATGGTACAGGATGATGCAGTGCCACCAGTAACAAGGATGGTGCAGTGCCACCAGTAACAAGGATGGTACAGTGCCACCAGTAACAAGGATGGTGCAGTGCCCCCAGGAACAAGGATGGTGCAGAGCCATCAGAAACAAGGATGGTGCAGTGCCATCAGTGACAAGAATGGTGCAGTGCCACCAATAACAAGGATGGTGCAGTGCCCCCAGTAACGAGGATGGTCAGGTCCCCCAAGTTCGAGGATGGTGCAGTGCCACCCGTAACAAGGATGGTGCAGAGCCATCAGAAACAAGGATGGTGCAGTGCCATCAGTTACGAGGATGGCGCAGTGCCACCAGTAACAAGGTTGGTGCAGTGCCACCAGTAACAAAGATGATGCAGTGCCACCAGTAACGAGGATGGTACAGTGCCACCAGTTCGAGGATGGTGCAGTGCCACCAGTAACAAGGATGGTGCAGAGCCATCAGTAACAAGGATGGTGCAGAGCCACCAGTAACAAGGATGGTGCAGTGCCACCACCCACAAGGATGGTGCAGAGCCATCAGTAACAAGGATGGTGCAGAGCCACCAGTAACAAGGATGATGCAGTGCCACCAGTAACAAGAATGGTGCAGTGCCACCGGTAACAAGGATGGTGCAGTGCCACCAGTAACAAGGATGATGCAGTGCCACCAGTAACAAGAATGGTGCAGTGCCACCGGTAACAAGGATGGTGCAGTGCCACCAGTAACAAAGATGATGCAGTGCCACCAGTAACGAGGATGGTACAGGGCCACCAGTTCGAGGATGGTGCAGTGCCACCAGTACCAAGGATGGTGCAGTGCCACCAGTAACAAGGATGGTACAGTGCCACCAGTAACAAGGATGGTGCAGGGCCACCAGTAACAAGGATGGTGCAGTGCCACCACCCACAAGGATGGTGCAGAGCCATCAGTAACAAGGATGGTGCAGAGCCACCAGTAACAAGGATGGTGCAGAGTCACCAGTAACAAGGATGGTGCAGTGCCACCAGTTACGAGGATGGTGCAGTGCCACCAGTAACGAGGATGGTGCAGTGCCACCAGTAACAAGGATGGCGCAGTGCCACCAGTAACAAGGATGATGCAGTGCCACCAGTAACGAGGATGGTACAGTGCCACCAGTAACAAGGATGGTGCAGTGCCACCAGTAACAAGGATGTGTCAATCATCAAATGGTGTGTGCTATAGGTCAATCGGTTGATTGGTTGGTGAGATACCACTAGCACATACAGCTCCAATTGAAGTTGAGATGTTAACTTCAAGGCCACCATGATATTTAACACAAGATTCTCTTCCCAATCCTTTAACTGAATTCAAGGGAACATCAAATTTGTTTTGCAGAACATGTGTGGCACATTGAAAAGTGTCACAAAAAATTGTAGTGTTGGGATTGTTATACTTTGGGTTCAAATGTCAAATATGTAGACGTTCGGAACATGGCGTTCGGGTGGCAACATTCGATTTTGTTATTCACCCTTTACCACTTTGTTAAACTTTATACATTTTGCGACAATATATAATATATAACAGCTGTTTCGTTTACTGTTTCAGATGCTGTCCCCGAGTGTTTTACCTAAGGCTGAATCGTCCAAAATGGCGCTAGAGAGATTCCTCCACTACTGGCATAGTAACATTGTACCGGAAATTAAGGCGAGTAGGGTTTGAAACGAGCTCCGTCAGACTTGTACATTTGGATAGATTTTAATCGTTAATATCTTTATCACGTATCGATGCAGTGACGTCGTACTTATTGCGGATGTCGCGAGTTTAAGCGTGGATTCATAAATGCTTTAGTAATAATCAAAATAAGTCATAGAAGGATGGCTAAGTGACCAAATATTAGCACTTACAGCACTTTGAATTCTTAATAGTTAATAATGACATTAAACATCGACCCTTTTGATGAATACTTTAGATTATTATATTCAGCAACTGTTAACCTTCCATTCATATAAGTCCCAACTCTTTGAGGTCAAACATTTAAAGATAGTGACAAAAAGGTGTAATTTTAATATTTCGTATTTTGACAATGCAGGCTGGAAAGAAGGTTATTATTGTTGCTCACTCGAACACTATGAAGAATTTCCACAAATTCCTCCGTAAATTGAAGGAACAAGATGTCAGTGATTTGAGGAAGATTGAACAAGGTAAGAACACACACCAATCTATCTTCCCGTTTATGGAAAGTGTCCACGGTTCTGATTGACCAATCTCTATCCGTAGTTGTCATTCTTTACACTGACATAAACCTCTGCCAATGGCTTAAGTCAGAAATCTTCACAAAGCTAGAACCGGCGTTTTTCAATAATGTTTTGCCCAGAATTGTCCTCGATGTAGTTATAAAACATGAGTAATTATTTTCTTGACGAAATATATACTTTTTTTTAAAAAAAAAACCTGTTAATTAATATAGACGTGGGCCAGAGTAAGGAAGACAACTCTGGAAGGTGATTAAAATACACGCATGTAAAAATGAAACGATTTAATTTAGAGTCAAATAGAGATTTTACACCGTTTCTCAAGCCTGCCAAGCTAGATTCAGTTCAACTTTTGTTTTCTTAATTTATCCTGCTTGTTTAGTTTAGTGGACCTTCATTTTCCTAGGTTTGTCCAGTTAAGTCAATTTCTCCGGTAGTCAGTATTAAGTTTAGTTGAACTTCTTTATGTCGAACTTGTTGTTACAAACATAAACATGACATGATTTAGTGTAAAACAAAAATACATTGAAATACACTTAGATTGGACACACGTTTATTTCAATATGTACAGACAATCGAGAAATACAGGTATTTCAGATATACAGACATTCGAGATATACAAGAATTCGAGATAAACATGTAGTAGACATTTACATTAATTCAATAATACATGTATTCGAGATATACAGTTATGTGTATACATAGATTCGTGATATACAAGTTCAAGTATTAGAGATAGATATGTATTTTTAGCTCACCTGGCCCTTCGGGCCAGGTGAGCTTATGCCATACTGCGGCGTCCGTTGTCCGTCGTCGTCCGTAGTCCGTCGTCCGTCCGTCAACTTTTTCTTTTGAACGACTTCTTCTGAAGAACTGTAGGACCTAGGGTCATGATATTTGGTCAGTAGGTACCTGGGATGGAGTGCTATAAAGTTTCCTCATTAAAATGACCTTGACCTACTATCAAGGTCACAGAGTTTAAATATGTTAAAAAATTCAAACAACAATATCCTAAGAACCGTTTGAACTAGAGTCATGATACTTGGGTATGTTATGTAGACCAGCAGTGCGAATATTTTTCTCAATTACAGTAATGAGGTCAAAGGTCAACTTTAAGTGCTAGTTTGGGGTCAAATGTCAACTTTGGTTAAAAGCTTTAACAGTCTTCTTCTCAAGTTCCATAAGGCCCAGGGTCATGATATTTGGCCAGTAAGTACCTGGGATGTGGTGCTATAAAATTTCCTCATTAAAAAGACCTAGACCTGCTTTGAAGGTCACAGGGGTCAAATATGTTAAAAATTTCAAACAACAATATCCTAAGAACCATTTGAACTAGAGTCATGATACTTGGGTATGTTATGAAGACCAGCAGTTCGAATATTTTTCTCGGTTACAGTTATGAGGTCAAAGGTCAACTATAAATGCTAGTCGGGGTCAAATGTCAACTTTTGTTAAAAGCTTTAACAATCGCCTTCTCAAGTTCCATTAGGCCCAGGGTCATGATATTTAGCCAGTAGGTACCTGGGATGGAGTGCTATAAAGTTTCCTCGTTAAAATGACCTTGACCTACTTTCAAGGTCACAGGGGTCAAATATGTTAAAAACTTCAAACAACAATATCCTAAGAACTATTTGGACTAGTCATGATACTTATGTAGACCAGCTGTGTGAATTGTTTTCTTTATTACAGTAATGAGGGCAAAGGTCAACTTTAAGTGCAAATCGGGATTCAAATGTCAACTTTGGTTAAAAGCTTTGAAATTTAAATGTTAAGTTTCAAACAACAATATCTTCAGAACCGTCAGAACCGTTTAAGAGATGTTAAAATGTCTTGTGTTCTAGTTACCAAATGGTCTTAAGTTACCTATCTGTCAGTTGCATGTAACAAAAGAAACAGGTGAGCCATACAGGCCCTCTGGGCCTCTTGTTTATTCGTAGATTCGAGTTATACAAATATTCGAGATATAAAGTGGTTCGAGATATACATAAGAACAAAGTCTGACTACATTTTATTGCAAGTCATTGATTCGAAAACTATTTCATATTTCAGGCAAACCTCTGCTTTACGAACTGGACCACAATTTCGACACTATAGGATGGAGATATCTAGAATAAAAAAATCGCCTTATCGACAGTCTAAATGTCAATACGTTACAGGAAGGAAGGAAGGAATGAAACTCCTTGAGATATGATAGACCATTCCGTAAATTGGAGTCACTTAAAGAATAAAAACGAACGAATAAAATGTTATTTCCTCCATCACCAAAACCTGGCTCGTCCTTAAAGGGGCTATTTAGTCAAGTGACAGCGTGAATAAAGCGAGAAGTTACCTTCTCTGTCGACTGGAAAGACATTTTTGTTAGCTAGAAATTCCCCGACAGCTGCCGCTAAAACGTATGGCTATACAGTTAAGGATTTCTCCATAACTGATTAAAAACACAAAAAAAGCATTGTCTCTTGTCAATTTCTCGACATGAATTGTTCATAGGGAGTATCAAACTATAGAATCAAGAAGAATTTTGTGACAACGTTATAAAAAAACCACTTGCTTCACTAAATTGTCCCTAGCGCAGTTAAGTGTTGGTGTTAAATAGCCACACTAATCTTACTACGGAACAGAGTCAAAGTTTGGGTTGTTTAGGTTAGGAGGTTACAAGTACTAAATATAACACGATCACCCCTGTATGTTATGAGAAATGCCAGGTTGAGACCTGTGAACCGAAACCTCTTACAAATGATCTTAAAGTTCTCTGGTTCAAATACAATTTTCACTTAAGTTGGACTCCCTGAACAAATGTTCCATATGCCCATGAAACTGGCATGATTAACAACAGAACATTGCCAGTGCGTATGAATCTGTGCCTAATTTCACACCATTTAGCCGGTATCGATCCGCCCAAACAATAGAACGATTTTGTTGAAATAAGCAATGTTTAAAATTTATGGCAAAGGAAATGTTTTATATAGAACTCCATGTATTTATATAGAACTCCATGTATTTATTTAGAACTCCATGTATTTATTTAGAACTCCATGTATTTATTTAGAACTCCATGTATTTATTTAGAACTCCATGTATTTATTATTTATTTAGAACTCCTTGTATTTATTTCCGACATTGTCTATGACAACGGGCATTCAGTGACGGACTACATTCTAACATAAGATTTACACAATCTTCAGTATATCTCGGTCCTAACAGTAAGGACTTCCCACCCTTCATATTACACATGTTTTTCTTTTCGTATTTTCGTGTCGTCATTTCCGTATTGCGTATCGGGCATCGATCGCAACTTCTCGGCCAATTCCGGCTAGGCACGGTATGATTCCCAATCGGGAACCGTCGGCACTTTCCGTAAACGAGAGAATTCCGTATTTTCTCGTTTACGGAAAGTGCCGACGGTTCCCGATTGTATGATTCCGTGCCTAGCCGGAATTGGCCGAGAAGTTGCGATCGATGCCCGATACGAATGACGACACGATCAAGAAGTTGCGATTGATCGGGCATTCCATTACCGTAGTGTAAATTATAGTAACACCAGGTAAACAATAGTACACGTGCGTGACGATGATATGTCAACACCCGATATCGAGACTTAACTTGGAAATGTGTAATCACACGTACTTCTAAAATAAAGATTATGGTAGAAAGACATTAATTAACTAACGGGAAGACATACATAAGATCAGACGACTTCAAGAAGGTCGTATATGAGGCGCATGGAATGCAGACTGATATGTTTTGTTTACCGACCTCACCTGAACGTATCACGTGCTAACAGTAGTTCACAAACTCTTGGTCGTAGGCTACGACTTTTGTTGTCGAGCGAGTTACGCTCTGTCAGATAACTCGTTTCACAAATGCACTTACAATAACTCTGTGAAAATAGTGGTTTGTAAAATATCAAGATCCCTATAAAATACAAGTGCGTGTGCGTGCACGTGATAACGGCATACCGTGCGATAGCATATGGTTACATATGTACCTGACATGCAAATATACCTTGCCGAAGCGGGCTATGGAATGATGTCCAAAGTGTACATGATTGAGACTAATTTTGTTCCATAAAAGAATAGCAAATTGACAATTAAATATAGTAATTTATTTCAGTCGTTTTTGGTATAGTAAAGAAAATAAGTGCCATTGTATAAATTCTATCCCTCGGCAAAAGGTTCCGATTTTTTTCAAGGTAGACAACTCTCATCAGGATAAAAATTGTTGTAAAATGTAAAATAAATAAATTTTAGAGACTTTGTGTGTATTTGGTTCAATTTTTCACTTTTTTTTGTATGAAACTATGTGTCTTGTTTGTTTTAAGCTTGTATTCAGTAACTTTTATCCATACAATTTCAATAAAAAACGCTTTTTCTAACATGTTGTAGATATTTTATGATAAATACAATATTTGTAGGGTTGATTAGCATTTCTTTTCATTATTTTATTAATATTTGAACAATGCCACACACTCAAAAAATGTGAAAGTGTTGAATTTGACAAAAATTCAATTTATCGGTATTTTTACAAAAAAATCCCAAGATTATCGGAATGATTTGATTTTTTTTTAAATCGTCTCTACATATTGACATAACCATTATGTGAAACTTTCATTGAATTCTGCTGGCTAATTGCGAAAAGGTGGAGCCACCTTAATTGAAAACTAAGGAATTACTTTCGCGTTGGGCGAAGGAATCGAGTTGGTCTAAAGAAATATTCAACATAAATTTTTTTGCAATTCAAAATTTGCCTCAGATCAAATAATTCATTGACCCTGTGAAATCGACAAAGCAAGATTCAGTCTTTAAATAATCAATTCCTTTGATTTCTTTAATTTATCGATATTTTAATAACTTGGTATTAAACTACATACATAATTCCATTTGAAAATAAATCCAGTGGATTCGATTCTGTGCCGACCCACAATTCAAACCCAATAAATCTGCGGTGTTTCCTATCAGAAGAAGTTCACAGTCTTGTCCAGAACAGAAGTTTATGTCAAAACACACAATTCCCGAGCCATTCTGTGTCACCGCTATACATTTCACCATACACCCGATTGATGACGTCACATCCACAGTTTCCAATGTGTTAATCGGTAGGTAAGAATGTAAAACGGATTTGAATTTGATGATCTAATTTTGAAAAGGCAAAAAATAGAAAGAATGTACAGAATAATGCAGAAAGTTGAAGCATTGTTGAACGAGATTATGAAGGAAAGGTTCATACAAGAATGTTACTCTTCGATTCCGCCTACTGAATATTTTTTTGAAAGATCCATCGTTGCCAATATAATTATGTGTATTTGAGAGGGAAAAAATGGTTCAAAGACAAACGACCCAATGAGGGAGTGTTTATAGGATCGAAAGTTTTACGACTGAATATTGACAAAACAAAATCGTTATAAATAATAAAGTTACCAATCTAATTAAAATAATTGTAAAGTTACTGTCCTATTCTCATCGTCAGTTTTAATTACATTGCGATCTCTAGAGCCGTCATAAGCAGCAGAGCTGAAAGTAGTAGGGAAGTGCCGCTTTTGGGCCAGGGTCATTGAGTGCAGTCTCCTATATAATCCTTACCACCACCCTAACTGGGTGGAACAGTTAAGATGACGTCCCCCCCTTCGGCAGGGGGGTACCGATCGATGACGTCACAGGGTGGTTCTCATGTATTTGGGGGTTTTCCTGACTGCATCTATTTATAGCGACTCCATCTCGATGGTAGGACGAGACACAAACATCAGGAAGGACAGCCGTCCTATCATGGATTTTAACGTCATCTATCTTTTGTGACGTCATCAATTTCATTGCTGTCAACACTTGGTTTGCTGTTCAAAAACTATTCGAAGTATCTAAATAAAGCTTAAATATTCTTATCAAAATGTAAATATATATATAAAGATATCCGCTGACGTCATCAGCCAGGACCACCTCTCATGGGGCGTTTCGACTCCTATCCTGGAACGCCTTAAAGGTGGCGAGTCGACAGAGATTGGCCAAATCACTGCCCGTCGGTGGATGGCATCCAGCTCAGGTCTTTTCTCCTCCACCAGAGCCAACTAGACGACTTCTCTGCTGTTGTTGAGAGTCGTTGTATTGCTGCCCTTCGGTCTCATCCCCTGATGCCCAATGCCGTGTAATCCTCCACATAGATTGTGCCGGGAACCCCCTGCATCCCATCTCGACAGGTAATGCCCATTTCCCAAGTTTGAGCCCCATCCAAAATCCATCTCTGGTGGGTTGTTGTCTTGGCAGTCTCCCCGGATCTTACGAAGTTGATGTAGGGTCTTTCTTTCACCACTTTCCTCTTCTTTCGTCTTTCCATCTTCAGCGTGTCTGCTAAATCTCGCAGGACCTTGTCGGGTCTCCATGTGTAACGTCCCTGTGTCAAAGCAATATTACAAGATGATAACACGCACGTGGGATAGATTACCTGGTTGGCCACACAGTGGACAGTTGGGGCTTGGCGTCAGTCCCCATCGGTGTAGGTTTGTAGGTGTTGGTAAAACGTCGTACACCAATCGTAGGAGGAACTGGATCATGCATGGTTCTAGTTTCCAAATGTCTAACCATGTTCGTCGTCTGTTTGTGGTCTCCCATCTAGTCCATGCACCCAGTGATCCCATTTCCACAGCCTCCGCCTTCCTGATCTCTTCCTCCATCTTTATAATATTGTCTTGCACCATTTCCCTCCTACCAACTGTGTCGGCTGTTCCCCACATGGTGCATGTGATTTTCCTTGGCTGCTGATGCATGTTGTCCCAACAATATCGCTGTTTCGCAATCTGTTTTCTGCCTGCTGGACGGCGGTGCTTGCCGACCACTTCCGTCCTGTTCTAGTTTCGATCCCTGCACTCCTGATTTTCTGGTCTTTGGAATCCCTAACTATCATCACCAATCTAGCCTTTGTTACCTTGAATTCCTCCACCAATGATGATATTGTGAGCTGCAATGTGGCTGACTTACTGTACAGGCCGATACTGGTGAAGCTTGGGGATACTCCAACCATCTTCGGAGACAATTGTTGATCTTCCTCTCAAGAGCCTCCACTGTAGTCGTGGTTACTTCATACAGTGTGATAGGCCAAGTCAGGCGAGGAAGAAGTCCATGTTGGTAAATCAATGCTTTGAATTTCCCTGGCAGTCCTGTTTTGTCTATCTTCCTCAAGCCCTCCTCCACCTGGGTTTGCAGCCGTTTGATGTTCTTGCTGTAATTCAAGCTTGCGTCAAACCACTTCCCCAAGCACTTGATCGGATTGTCAACTATCGTTTGAATCTCTTCCTGCTGGATCATAAGCTTTAACATCTCCGTCACTTTCCCTCTCTTGATGACCAGGTTTCTTGATTTCCTTGGTTGAACTTCATCCTGGCCCACTCCACTGTATCCTCTAGAGCTGACAATATCCACCGTGCCTGAACATGTGTTGTGGTTGTTATGGTCAGGTCGTCCATAAAACCTCTGTTCATTTGCAGTCTCACTCCTGACAATGTTTTGGGTCCTCTGGTTTCCCTGTCTGCTGCCTTGATGATCAAGTTCATCTCCATCACAAATAGTATAACAGAGATCGTACATCCTGTCACAATGCCTTTCTCAAGTGCCTGCCATGTTGTTGTTATGCCCCCTACCGTGAACCGGAGTCTGATGTTGCTGAAATAATGTATGATCCCCTGGATGTGTTCTAACGCCTTGAAGATCGGTTGGTGTGGAATTGAACCGTACACAGTGGCAAGGTCTAACCAAATCACATATAGGTCTCCATGGTTGATCTTGGCTTCCCGAATCAGCTGTGTGATTGCGCTGGTGTGTTCAATACACCCTGGAAATCCTAGAATGTCTCATTCCTGCACAGAAGAATCAATGTACTCGTTGGATGTCTTGTACGTTGTCATTCTCCTTGCAAGTATGGCGAAAAAGTTCTTCCCTTCGACACTAAAGAGTGATATGGTCCTAAACTGATTTTTGTTTGCAGAGTTCTTCTTCTTCGGTACAAGTATTCCCTCTGCTCTCTGTAAGCATTCGGGGATCTTTCCCTTCCTCCAAATCACTTTCACAAGCCTTCAGAGACGACATAAAGGTTTTGGGCACATCTTGTATACCTTGTATGGTATACCACTTGGTCTCGGTGCTGATCCTGATCGCGCTTTCTTCATCACTTCCACCCTTTCCTTTCGCAATGGTTCTTTCGAATCTAATGGGGTTGCAGGTTCCTCAACTGATGGTATTCTGCTGCACTCCCCCAGTGAGATGTCCCTTTCTTCATCAGAGTGGGTCTTTGCGAGGTATTGTTCCATTTCCTGCCTCGAGGCTTTCAACAGACCGGATCTCTCTTCTCCCAAAAGTGTTGTTGTAAATTTGTAAGGGTTGGAAATGAATGCTGTCCTTTTCCTTGCTGCTTCACTTCTCCGTTTCCGTGAACTCTCCACATTCTGAAGTGTTTTCAACCTTTCCCGAAGGTCATCTCTGCGCAGTTGTAAACCCATTCTCTCATATGCGTTGGACTTCTGGTATCTCTGTTTCAATACTTTCAGCTCCTTTCACAACTTTGCCACTTCCTGCTGTCTCCCATTGGGTTGATGGACTACTCCAGTTCTGTTGGCATCAGCTGTACCAAACCTGCCACAGCTGACTGTATATACAATCGTCGAAAGTGATTTGATTTCCTTTCCACTCCACCCTGCAGCATCGTTTCCAAAATAGTGTCCAGATCGTCATCCAGCTGTTTCCAAATGCTTTTGTCGTTCATCCCTGGCCATTTCACCAGTGTTCTTCTGTCTGCTTGGTTATTGTCCACTTGAGTCACTTGGATTGCATCTCCCTAGGTGAACTTGAGGTGTCTGGCTGCAACGACACATCAGCAGAGAGGTGAGGTCCTTAGCACTGTGGTGTAAATCCTGGGTCTCATCAGATATTACATCTGTGCGCTGCTGTTGTATCTCCTCAGGTCGGCATTTCGCTTTTGCCTGGTGGATCCGCAAACCACTTAGGTTCTTTCAGACCTTCCCACGCTTGCACCTGGTTTCTTTCTCCTTTCCTGCCATCAAAGTCTGTTATATTTTAGCAAATACTGTAATGGCCCTCTAACACACCTGGTTTTATGCAAGTTTGTCAGCAATAGCAATGTGTGTTATAGGACCATAACAACATTTGCTAAAAAGACTCATTGCTTAATTAAGGTAAGGGCACTTAATCGGTGCTTCTGATTCATTAATGTGTGACCCATGACCTTTTTACTATTTTGTTGTGTTAATAAGATTTTATGAAACGTAGAAAGGTCCGCCGCTAACGGAAGCTGACATTAGACTTACAATTCAACACTTTTCAGTAGAAATGGGTAAGGAACAATCACTTCTCTTTGCAGACACCCTCATTTTGTTACCAAAGTACACCATTTTTCATTGAATACAACTTTAATTTAACTTCAGGATTCAATATGCAATGAAGAATTTTGGCCTGAACTAACTTAAGATGTGAAAATGTCGTTTGTTTTGTCTTCGTTTTGCCAATTTTGAAAATCAATCAATATCAAAGCTATATTGGTTGATCCGATACACCATTTCGTAGGTACATGAATTCGTGGATAAAGAGTACCCACTCAAACGGAGAATTACTAAATATCAAACTTGTAATTACTTTGTTGATCTATAACTCACCGATGAAGATTTTCCAAGAAACTAAAAACCCCACTAAAATTAGTGATTGCACAGTATATGTCATATTACTCCTGGGAGGATTCAAACAGTGATACTGCAATACCATAGTATTTAAAAAAAATCTGATTGTTAAAATAATGTAGGCTTTATATGGTAGGAAATATAAACCCCTTAAAAAGACTAACTAAATGCACTGACTGAATTAAAACTTCACCAAGACTTGTTATAATATTCAAAAACATTCAAACGATAACAAAACATTTTTAACAGTTAAAATATTTTAATGTACACACATCGACATAATTGCCTTCACACCAAATATGTCCAAAGCATGGTATAATTACCTGGTAAGAAAGACAAAACAATGTTGGTGTGTCAATAATTTCACCAGTCCAACAGTAAACTGCAGAAAAACATAATTCATGAAGTATATAGGCTAACTAACTATCATATGTGTCTCATTTGCAAAAGAATTCCCCTTTAAGACATTATCATTTATGAACAGCAACTAGGACCAGACACATTTGAAATGTTCACAAGAATTGATGACACATTTGAAAGGTACACAATAATTGATGACACATTTGGAAGGATAACACATTTGAAAGGTACACAATAATTGATGACACATTTGAAAGGTACACAAAAATTGATTACACATTTGAAAGGTATGCAAGTACTGATGACACATTTGAAAGGTACACATGATTACATATCAAGAACAACTTAAATACAAAGCACTGGTTTTATTGTGCAAGGAACCATATTTCCTAGTGTGTAATAGCTATCCAAGATATCATTTTCAGCTGGTTTACCTGATAACTGAACAATGTACAGGTAATAAAATGCAAACCCACCAAATGCATCAATTTTTATAAACCTGTAAATTTAAAACTAGATTCAGTTATCAACACCATTATTCCTAGGACAACTTGTGAATTTCAAATCAAAGATTTTTTTGTTTGTCCTGCGGTAACCCCATCCTTTTACTTTGAGTTTGAGAGTATGTGTTTCTCCATGGGCTTATTGCAGGATGAATACCAGTAATCTCATTTAAAGTCAGTAATATTATTGTAATAATATTGTAGTGTCAGTTGATTTGCATATATTACTTGGGTAAGCAGGTAAAATTGACTACATTGTCATAGTTCACATCTCCATAACAGTGAAATAGTAGTCTTTACTATAGGGGATATAAAAAATCAACAGGTAATTGTCACAACATTTCTTTTGATAAAATGCTGTCTGCCAACTATAGTGTATAGTCGGTAGGTAACAATGGAAAGATTTAAAAGTGTTTTTTTAAGGTGAAGGGTACCACTACCTCTGTTATAATCGTGAAGAAGAGTTCCACTCTGGGTTTTTTACTTGGAGCATTCTCTCTTCTATATAAAAGACAGAGCAAACATAAAAGATTTTTTTCTGATGTATACTTTTTCATATTCTTTGGGGCCCATGAATCGGACACTTTTTCACCTCTGTAGACCACAATCGACTTGTCCAGATCAATGCATGTTAGAGTCGTTTTAATGATTCCTGTATGGCAACTTTTTTAAAGAGTAAGCTTTCTAATGTAATGGTTCCGATTTGGACACCTGCATTTTTTTTTTTAATTTCTATTTTCAAACAATTCAAACTTTCAAATTTCACCTTCCAGCAACTACAATTCCGTAAAATGCTTGGCAACATGCAATTTTATCGAAAATTTCTTTTGAAAATGACTTTTAACAAAGATTTCACTATGACAACAATGGTAAAAATATAACATATTAACACAGTGGTCTCTAAATAAAGGTGGTATCTTGAGCAGGTTTGACTAGTTTATGGTAATCTGTTCAATACTAAATGTGACCATTACATGTTGGATTTAGTAACAGATAATCTTGCAGACTCGCATCATACATACAATACAAATCTTCAATGACAAGAAAGATACTGTATAGCTAAATATTTAGGCTATGGGCTGAATATCTAGGCTAGGGGCTGAATATCTAGGCTAGGGGCTAAATATCTAGGCTAGGGGCTGAATATCTAGGCTAGGGGCTGAATATCTAGGCTAGGGGCTAAATATCTAGGCTAGGGGCTGAATATCTAGGCTAGGGGCTAAATATCTAGGCTAGGGGCTGAATATCTAGGCTAGGGGCTGAATATCTAGGCTAGGGGCTAAATATCTAGGCTAGGGGCTGAATATCTAGGCTAGGGGCTAAATATCTAGGCTAGGGGCTGAATATCTAGGCTAGGGGCTGAATATCTAGGCTAGGGGCTAAATATCTGGGCTAGGGGCTGAATATCTAGGCTAGGGGCTAAATATCAAGTCTTGTGGCTGAATATGGCTGAATATGGCTGAATACCTACCCTATCAGGTGGCTGAATATTTAGCTATAGGCAGCTAGCAGCTGAATATCTTTGTTGGGGGCTGAATATCTAAGCTAGAGGCTGAATATCTGGGTTGGGGGTTGAATATCTAAGCTAGAGGCTGAATATCTGGGTTGGGGGCTGAATATCTAAGGTAGCGGCTGAATATCTTGGTTGGGGGCTGAATATCTCGGTTGGAGCTGAATATCTCAGCTAGCGGCTGAATATCAAGGTTGGTGTTGAATATCTTGACTAGTGACTGAATATATGGGTTGGGGGTTAAATATCTAAGCTAGAGGCTGAATATCTGGGTGGGGGCTGAATATCTAAGCTAGCGGCTAAATATCTGGGTTGGTGTTGAATATCTAGACTAGTGACTGAATATCTGGGTTGGGGGCTGAATATCTAAGGTAGCGGCTGAATACCTGGGTTGGGGGCTGAATATCTAAGGTAGCGGCTGAATACCTGGGTTGGGGGCTGAATATCTCAGTTAGCGGCTGAATACCCAGCTAACACCCCCCAACCCCCTAATTATTGTTAAATGTTTTGAGTGTGAACAAAATATCCAACAAATCTGTACTTCTCTGTTTGAAAAGCATGTAATTTTTCAAATATATATACTTGCAGTAGATCACTAATGTACTTTTAAGACGCAGAAAACTTGTGTCGACTGGCGGTCAAAAGCTCTATTTAATGTCGGTCAAAAGCTCTATATTTTTCTAAATGCCAACCGACTCTAGATAACATTTATCTTATCTTATCTGGCTAAATTAAACAGTGACAAATATAAATAAAAGTAAAATAACAAACCTTTTATACAAGCTAGAAAATAACAGTATAATGTTATGAGAAGAATGAGAGAGCTAGAACGCTAAGAAAATTGGTATGATTTACACTCTCAAGAGCTGGGAAGGTTTAGTATGATAGATGAGCCTGGTACGTTCTACTGGATACAAACCTATACTACAGCACCTATAGAAGGAATGTGTTATGTCACATGTAAATTACATGTATCACAGATATATTTCCATGTTAGTTTAGGATTATATTCCTTTAGCAAATTCAAAACCTTCTTAATCACAGTTACAAAATGCAGAGGGAAACCAAAAATGTCACAATATTACTGAAATTTCAGAAACAAAGGTGACAAAGTAACGTTTTTAAATTCATGAAACACAGAATAAATGAATGCTGAAGATCTCTATGGTAACAGTCAATAAGGTGGTGGTCATGCAATAACAATTAATACACAGTGATATCACATTGATTTTATAAGTGTACCAACACAGCAATCTTACTACATCAATATTTATATTCAAAAATATTTCTTAAAATATCCTAGCTCCTGTTATCAATAAATAGGGCATGTGTGCACTGGATTTTTAACTAAGATCTTCTGCGTACTTTCATCTGGTCAACACGTGTGATTAATGTAAGTTGGAAAACTTGTTTCATAATTGTTGTAAAATAAATGAAGTTCTTATTTATATATAAACTTGAATTAACAATATTTAGTGCCAGAGGTTTCACTTCTTTTGAAAATAAAGTGAATCTGGCTAACTCATATAATGGAGGTACTGAAGCAGAAAACAAAAAGAACTTAAGGTAGAGAGTCCCAGTGTTCTGTGTTGCATCTTCAATGAAGAAGAGTTCCATTTTGTTTGGCATTTTTCTGACTTGGAGTTACTTGCTCATTTACTGTATGAAAGGTTATATACAAATATATTGAGAATGTAGAAAAACAATCAGGAAAACATCTGTCTTGATAACAAAGCAGGGAGCCTATCCACTGTGCTACCAGTCATGATATTCGGGTTGTAACTGTGTTTCTGCAATATTACTCAAATCAATTTTAAAATGTTTAAACTCTGTGAAAAAGATTTGCAAGCAATATTTGTCTTTGTATGATTTTAAAGGATAATATAAATTTAAAAGACAAATAATGCCTGTATACAGCAGGAAAGTGGTTGAACTCCCTATAGAAATTGATGATTATATCATTTATGAAAATGTCAATGATTCAAAATGACAGTGTCATTTATGTAATTAAGAAATTGATAAAACATAGTCCTTTAGAATGGTAAGAGTACATTATATATAAATATATACTGTAGGTACAAAGTATGTGATTTTAGAAATGCAATTTTAAAATACATTTATTTGTAACAAGTAGTATACAGAGCTTAGCATTTTATTTTATTTTTATCCTTAATGGAGTAAAATATGGATACACATAAATATCAGTCAATTTATCAGACCATTGTCCTCAGATGAAAACAATAATTGACCATCATGTAATCACAATTGCCTGGTATATGTAATAAAGATCAGTTCATTTACTAGGAGACCAGAGAAGTAATATCACAGTAATTTGAACATTGGTTTATGTGATGGACTATCAGTCACTTGTGTACTAATAAAACTACTCTTTAGCTTTAGTAAAGATTTTAGTCGAAGATGAGTGTCCACTAATTGTTTTAGTTGTTTGTTGCCTTTCTTGTTGTTTGGTATTTATGATGGCTAAATAACATGTAACGGGGAAATATAACACTGCAACAGACAGATGATCATAAACAATCAAATCGCATATCTGTATGCCGCAAAATCCCATTCTGACTGGCTGTAAGGTTACAAGTGCCATGCAGTTTCTTTGTGTGGTAAAGGACAGGTCTACTACCAAATGAAAGGATAACAGGTTTTACCTTGACTCAATGCGTAGAGTCAATTGATATGTACAGAACTGTAAGATCATACAAAGCTTATTTAAAGTGAAATGGCAAGGGAGAATGGCTACCGGGGTATATCTGTAACAGTCATGGGGGTTTGTCTTAGCTTCATATAAAATATTGGAAGTTTTAAAGCATTTTATGTACACCAATCTAAAATATACAACTGGAATGGATTCAATAATACAATGATTATACTTTGAGGGAAACCTTCCTCAGAAACTGTTTGTTGTATGCGTCAATACATCTGTAGATGATAGGAAACAAAATTCGCCTTCAAAAGACAAGAAATTAAAAGTACAATTCAATAAAATACAAAGACATCATAGCATTTTGAAATCTCAACTTTAAGTCGTGTTTTCAACACTTCTAAAAATTAAATTAGGATCACCACATGACATAAATTAACGTATATCATAAACATTAATCAAAAACAGTTACAGATGACAAGGAACTCCGCTAGAGCTTTAAGTAATCCATGTCCAAGGGAGCTATCAAAAAATTATCTCAACAAAGATCATATCACAATAAACTAAATCCTCGATTTGAAAATAAAGTTAACAAAAAACAATTTTCAGATTTAAAATTATTCAAACTATTTCAATCTGTCAACATAGTAATAGGCACATGAACTTAATTTTTTCACATAAAGTGAACAATGATCTGAAATACATTACATCATTTATCGGATAATAAGCCCACGCCTGGTGATAATCCCTCCCATATCTATTACAGTATTAATGCCAGCAAAGGCTGGATCACTTCTCTGTAATAATCTCATTCCTCTATGTTGAGTCAGATATTAACCTTTTCACCGACCTATTCCCCCACAAAATCACTTTTTAAAATATATAATATATAGAATGTAAAAGTTCAAAATGTCTTATATTAACTAAATTTATTTTAATATTTTATGGATATCATCAGTTATGCAAACTTATATCAGCGTATTGTGAAGATATTGTATGTAACTAGGGTTTATTTATAACAGGAATTCAGCCCCCTCAAAAATCCCTGTATACAGGGATTTGCCGGCAGGAGGAAACCTTTTGAATCACTGTATACAGGGATTTGCCGTCAGGAGGAAGCCTTTTGAATCACTGTTTACAGGGATTCATTGGTGAAGGGGTTACGTGTTGGTTCCCTGGGCTTAACTAAGGATAATTACGATACTGCTTTAAAACTTATTACTTTCATTACTTTCTTTAAAACAAAAATCATATTTTGAATTTATCATTGTGAACTCTTCATGAACAGACAACAAGATCAATATTGCTATGCTGCAAACCTTTGTTTGCAGAGAAATTATGGAGCGAGATTCTTCGATATACCCGACTGTCAAATATCCACTTATAAATGTATTGAATGTTTTTACCGTAAATGCCACAGAAAAGTATCACTTTTTTGACTACTTTTTCTGGTACATGTATATACAAGCCAAACCTGTGGATTCATAAATGTAAATTTTGAAAATTTCAACTGGGCCTGACATAAAATCTACTAGATCTAAGCTTTGGTCTACTTAATTGTACACCCCTGAGTTCCATTTACCTACAAATCTAAAAACATCAGTGTTATCATTACATGCAGGTTGCCGTCAAATATAGCCCACTATTTATCAACCTTGAACCAGCTATGTTTTTCTGCATATGTATAGATCAACATTATAATACATATATGAACATTCAACTTGGTATTCGTGAAGACATTTTGAATACAGAATTCAGAAAAAATCACTTTCTGGATACTTTTATGTAGAAAATTACTATTTTATATATATAGATTGCACTATTGGTAATTGAATTCATGATTTTTATAGATACTAACAAAGAGTCACTACAAAAGCATGCTCAGATTTCGTTAAAGAAAAGAATTCCACTATCCTGCTTTTAAAGACAGAGCATTTTATGTGTTGATCACCTATAAACGGAAGATATGAAATGTACCGGTAAATAGAGAAAAGATGACAAATGGAGGGACAATACTTAACCACGCCATATTTTAACTAACTTCCTCTTTGAAATGAAAAAAAGCATTTCAAATTCCAAAAAGCTAGCAGATTATACAAATTTTAAACTCTCACACAACTATTTATAAAAAAGATTTAAAACACATGATCACTAAAATGTCATTTAAACCAATCCGTAACGTCATAACCGAAGTAAAACTACAAATATAAATCACAAGAAAGCTTTTTGGCACTGGAAAAAATAAAATAACAGAGAAAGCAGAATAATATATCTGACAGCATGTAACAGCCAATCTCATCGATAAAACAAATTTTACAGATGACGATGCTCTTTTGTATATTCAGGGTACAGGGTTTGGTATAAATCAAGTACATGTTTATTCCTCTTTGATCAGCCAGGCCACAATGGCTGGTCATAGGTAGAATTATGCACCAACAATACACATATTTATCCTCTGTTGTGTAAACCTTGGGAAAAAGTACAACCATTAGTTAGATATATTGCACAAATTTTGTTACAGGACTAAGTCAAATCTCAAAAAAATAAAATAAAAAAATTGGTTTAACCTTTACTCATTTACCCCTGAAGTTTCATAATGAACTATTCCAACCTTTAAATAAGAAGAGTTCAAATGTGTCTTCAGGGGTGAATGAGTTAAACCTGAACACTTACAAATTATGCAGATACATTATATGAGCGGTAGATTATAGGTTAAACTTTTAAATAAGGTTATTTATCTAGAACACAACTGTTAGGCAGATAACTCAACAATCCTTCTGCTGTTCTATCCTTCCAGAAAACATATGAAGGCCAATGTCACTGTTTAACCTTTCGAGGTCAAGGTCACTGTCTGACCTCTAGAGATGAACCTAGTCTGGTGACCATGTCCCGACAATTTTTCTGAAGTGATACATCTGTGATGGTCATGTCCGGCACCCCAACCTGTAAAAACAACATGGCTCAATATTAAAACGGGTAAAACCAAGTATACACTGAAAGAATATTTCTAAATTATCTAAAAAAGAACATAATAAACAACTCCTGATTTTGATATGGACCGCAGAAAAATGATAAAACAGAAGTCACTCTCAGTCCTAAAATTTCGGCCCCCAAACCTTCTTCAAAGGTCGAAAGTCAACAACGGATTCAAGTTACATCCATCTTGCTTCTTCAGATTTAAAGGAAATGACGTACAAAATTTAGATGTCACAATAACTTGTTGAATCAATGACGTCATAATAGCACAACGTCAGAATCACAATTGTTTTTTTAATTCTCTAATAAATTCAGAATGAAAACTTGATAATTTACATAATCCGGGAAACCACTGAAAAAAGGCAATATTATCTCATAAATATAGAATAAAATATCTTATAAATCCAGTGTACAATGAAAACAGGATGTGCTACTGTGATGACCTTGCCACTGGAGTGGTAGATAAAACAACCCAGGGCTCTTTTCCACGGAGGAAATTTGTAGAAGTTCCCCTCCTTACCTTGTAGTGAATTGACCATGCTGAAGACAGAGCCTGCATGAAGCGTTGAGTTTCTGAGCCATCATTAAAATACAGCACCCATTGGTCAGCACTAACACCTTGATCATGTGACTCAAACTCCTAAATAAAGAAAAACATTGGTCATGTGACTTAACATCTGTTTATAACATAGGGTCATGTCAGTGATTTCTGTAAAACAGAAGTTGGATATAATTCTAGGACAAATACCAGCAAAAAAGAAAGCATTATTATTTCTACAAAACAAGAGGCCCAGGGGCCTGTATTGCTCACCTGTTTCTTTTTTTACATGAAACTGACAAATAGTTAACTTCAGACCAAATTTGGTAACTTAAACACAAGACATTTTAACATCTCTTAAACGCTTCTTAAGATATTGTTGTTTGAAACTTGAAATTTCAATTTTAAAGCTTTTAACCCACGTTGACTTTTGACTCCGGCTAGCACTTAAAGTTGACATTTGACCTCATAACTGTAATAAAGAAAACGATTCACAGCTGGTCTACATAACATACCAAAGTATCATGGATCTAGACCAAATGTTTCTTAGGATATCATTGTTTGAAGTTTTTAACATATTTGATCCTTGTGACTTTGAAAATACTTTTTAATGAGGAAATTTTATAGCACTCCATCCCAGGTACATACTGGCCAAATATCATGAACCTGGGCCTTATGGAACTTGAGAAGAAGATTGTTAAAAGCTTTTAACTCATGTTAACGTTTAACCCCCGACTAGCACTTTAAGTTGAACTTCGACCTCATTACTGTAATTAAGGAAAAGATTCGCACTGGTGGTCTTCATAACATACCCAAGTATCATGACTCTAGTCCAAATGCTTCTTAGGATATTGTTGTTTGAAGTTTTTAACATATTTGACCCCTGCGACCTTGAAAGTAGGTCAAGGTCATTTTAATGAGAAAATTTTATAGCACTCCATCCCAGGTACCTACAGGCCAAATATCATGACCCTAGGTCCTCCAGTTTTTCAGAAGAAGTCGTTCAAAAGAAAAAGTTGACAAGACGGACGATGGACACTGCAGTGCTGCATAAGCTCACATGGCCCTTTGGGGCAGGTGAGCTAAAAATCTCTGAGACTCAAACCTCTACAATAAAGCAAAACTTCATGTGACTTAAATCCTAAACGATACAAAATGACTTTTAACTTCCAGACACACAAGAGGCCCCCTGCATCCATTTCACTCACCTCTTTCGTTGTTATTTGAATAAGACTTAAATTGTACAACACTAAACTCCCTTGGCTAATACCAAATTAAGTATAAATCACTTCAGTTATTCCAGACTAGAGGTTCCTTAAAGGGGAGGTTGATAGTGAGCGACAGATTCTGTGCCGTGGGGTAAGCTCATTTAACCCACCGGTCACTCAAAATCTTATCTTCTAATCTGTGATTTATAGATCATTTACCTACCAAGACACAGTAGTTGCTGACCGCTGGGTCGGTCAGTACGTTGGTGATGTCCAGTAAGTTAGCACTCCCTAGCGTCCTGAAGAAACTAGTCTGGACATCCTCGTGACACATCAATAATTTCTGCGGAGTAAGTACAAGGCAGCACGGGAGACAATTCACTGTCAGTGGAGTCTTCTAGAAATGACATGCAGACAGAATCAAAATTAGTTTCTGTAAGATTTTTTTTTTAAATTTAAATATTTTGAAAAGAAATAGCACCAATATCAGTAGATTGGTCTGATGGCCAACTTACCTCAAGCCCTTGAGCTACAGCGCGACACAGACTTTGTAGCCACTGATTAGCCTCAACGTCTGTTGCTAAGGCAATGTGCCATGTTGTGCCAGAAGCCATGATGACTTGGATACAGTGATCACGGTCAGTGTTCGAGGCGTGGCGACACCCTATACAGTCATCTCCTCCGAGCTGGACAAAATGAAGAGGCTTACTGACCGCCTTACTGCTATACACACACAGCATACCATCTCTGGAGGGAAAACAAGATATATATCAGGCCGCATTCGTTTATTGTGATCCAAACAGTTGAACGGTTTGGACCAGAGTTGTTGGTTTATGAAATGAGGTTGGACCTAGTAATCTAATGCTGTTTTCAGGCAAGCATTGACAAAGCTTTGTAAGATCTGCATAAACATTCGCAAGTCTGCGAGGATTTATACCCGAAAATGTTATATGTAAAAACAGACAAACCGGTTGAACTGGATACACGAAAGGCGCCTCAGTTACTTCGCTCATAATCAAGAGGTACTGAGGGCCTGCATTACTCACCTACACTGTTAATATATGAAAGCTAAGCACATACAGTTTACAGAGCACGTGAGCTTAACCCCTGTAATGTATAGTATCTGTAAATAACACATTTGTCATGCTTGTTTCTTTTCTCTCAATAACATGCCAAATATGATTTGAAACTTCTAGACTTACGAAACCATTTTTACTTGACACCTATGACAATGAAAGAAGGCAGGGGTCATTTATTTATGGAAACTTATTAGAATATCATCCCTAGTAGCTACTGGCCAAATATCATCACTCAGGCCGTCTGGAACTTGACAAGAATAATTTAAATGTTTTTAACGTAGAATACCCCTGTTGACCCAGACTAGCTCTCAAAGTTGACATAAGACCCCAATATCATATGCTAGACAAAGAAGTGTATGCCTAGTCTCTATAACATACTTAAGTATCATGGTTCTAGATTTCATGACCTTTTACAAAATAGTGTTGAACTTTTAAACATATTTGATCCATGAGGCCTAGATAGAAAGTAAAGGTCATTTGCCTGTGGAAAGTTTATAGTACTTTATTCCTGGTACCTACTGGCCTATAGTACTTTATTCCTGGTACCTACTGGCCTATAGTACTTTATTCCTGGGACCTACTGGCCTATAGTACTTTATTTCTGGTACCTACTGGCCTATAGTACTTTATTCCTGGTACCTACTGGCCTATAGTACTTTATTCCTGGTACCAACTGGCCTATAGTAATTTATTCCTGGTACCTACAGGCCTATAGTACTTTATTCCTTGTACCTACTGGCCTATAGTACTTTATTCCTGGTACCAACTGGCCTATAGTACTTTATTCCTGGTACCAACTGGCCTATAGCACTTTATTCCTGGGACCTACTGGCATATAGTACTTTATTCCTGGTACCTACTGGCTAAATATCATGACCCTAGACCTGGAACTTGACAGTCAGATTTGTAAAATCCTCTAGGCCTTTCAATTTTTAAGAAGAAGCTATTCAAAGAAAAATTTGATGAATCGATGCTGGACACCTCACCAAACCACAAGCTCACAAGCACTAAAGCCATTTAACTCATTCACCCCTGAAATATTATAATGAACTATTGCAACATTTGAATTGGAAGAGTTCAAATGTGTCTTCAGGGCTAGGGGTGAATAGTTTAATGCCAAGTTATCTAAAAACTTAAATAAATCATGCATGTCTTAGGATGTAACTTACTTGAGGACTACGTAGGCTGGTTTCCATGATGTTCCATAGATGAGGGCAGCGGGATCCTGGACGGTACTAAGGAGTGTGCTGCCTAGTGATGCCCCTACCTCGTTCATCTTATACAGAAGGTGACCCTCTTTGTAAGTACTGTCAGAGTTATCCCCCTTAGCTGTCGGGTCATCCCAGTGGACCAGTGAGTAACAGCAAATTTCAACAGCAGATGTCTGTATAAATCATAGTCAACATATCAGTTCAATATACCATGGCAAAGTTTTGCGGGACTTTTAAAATTTGTGCATCCATGAAATTAAAACAACTGCAAGTGGTGATAGAGCTTCTACAATGTATCTGTGTATGCTGTTTAATGAATTTACTCAAGGAGAGTTGTGTCATCATCAATATAAAAAAACATAAATATCACATTTTCAATTTCATTCTATGCTGAAAATTAGAAAGGTTCATGTTAGAAAAATATAATTGTCCTCTATGAATTTTATTGGTTCTTCCAATAGACTGTAAAAATACAAGACTTGTAACATTACAAGATATTTTTTTTAATTTTTGAAAATTTAGCTCAGGAATTTCTGTATCTCTACACAAGATACTCCGACAGTTGTGCTCATTTAGTTCTCTTCGCCCCTGGAATATGTTAAAGCAAAATTGAAGGCTCAATGTGCGCCACTTTGTGGATGAGACAGGAAGACTAGTTGATCCTTTGATGTACATCAAAAGAATCTGTCGGTTGCATAACGGTTAACATTGACAGGCTTTGAAGTCAGGTGTCGCTCCTTTGTAATCTTCAAAGGACAGGTATCAGCCTAGCGATTGGTCAGGTTTTTCTTACCCGAGACCAATTGAATAGCTAGCCCCATGCCTTCAATTATGCTATGGCATATTCCAGAGGTGCAGAGAATGTAAGTGAGGGTAACCCCTGGAGTATCAAGGATGCACAAGGATAAACAATATGAGAACTATTTCCTTACCTCACACTTGCATTCCTGGGCGGCATACTTCCTCAGGGCTATCTTTTGAGTTGTGGCATCGGTCAACACAGAGATCTTTGGTATGTCAAAACCACCCTTGTCAATGGCCTGGCTGAGGCACCCCACAATCGACCTACATGTACATAACGTACGCATACAATGCCGAAGTATAAATCTCTGACTCCAAAGTAAAAGGTGGGCTTTTTACAGAACAATGAAATAACATTTGTTGGGTCATTTCTATGGCCAACAACCATTGACCAAGATATGTAAATACCCCTGCAGACTTTGACATTTTCTGACTTTTTCTATTCATTATATCAAAGACTTAAAAATACTGTAAACTGAGTTGAAAGATTTCATTTTCACCTTAATTGGTGGGGAGAGATTATAACGTATTCAAATATCTCAAATATTTCAATAACTATATTTAAACCATTTATGCAAATCTGCTACAATTTCTTTTTATAATTTCAAACAATATGAACAATTCCAAATCTGTGTCATCATGTTGAACTGATTCATGCTAGATTTGGAAAAAGTGTCACACTTTAGGAAAGATGCAAGGCAAACAAGACTGTAAACATAGAATGTTGCACATGTTTATAATTTTAATACACAATTCAGGCAATTCATATTTCTGAGTATTTTTCGTCCATCTATAAAACTGACCACTGGCCCTGTGTATGCGTATCAGTTCTCAGCTCTATTGAAAACTACATTGAACTTCACAATATTATAGTAACACTCAATGAAAACTATCTGGTTTGGTTTGTTTTTGTTTTATGCCCTATTAACAGTTATGGTCATTTAAGGACGTACCAGGTTTTGGTGGTGGAGGAAAGCCAGAGTACCTGGAGAAAAACCACCGACCTGGGGCCAGTACCAGGCGACTGCCCCACCCCCCTATATGCAAGTGATCGTAGATGGTCAGACAATTTACCCACTCAGCAACTGCAGCCCCAATAAAAACTACCAAGTTTATAGCATACAAAATGCTATACACATACCTGGTAACAAGTTGGCTCCCGGTCGTGATCCAGAACTGTTTTCTTCGGTTCAGACACACAATCTGGATCACCTGGTCTGACAGGCTAAGCTGTAACACAACGAAAACAATTCTGACTACACAGGAAAAAAATCTAGATGTCAATTTGACCTGAAATTGACAATTTATCTTTGGTATTTCAGGTCAATTTATTACCTGAAATTGACTTATTTTGCCTGAAAATTGACTTATTTTGCTCTTTTCATGTAAAACTGACCTGAAAATTTGACCTGAAATTGACATCAAGAAATTTTCCCTGTGTGTCACATCACTTATGATAAATTATCAGTAATTGTACTGCTCAATAAATTAGTACTCCCAAGAAATTATGTTAAAGCCATGTTTGATTATAGGCATTTGTTGAGGACATTAATCAGGTTTTACATAATTTGAAGATGTCAGCACTTACAGATGTTAGCAAAATACAGTCAAACTTCTATGAATGGAACTTTGAAGATTCAAATTTCTCGATGTGTCAAACTTCCGGCAAAGTCCAAATTTCCCCCCTTATATAACACTACTAATATTCCATTTATGAATCAAACTTTTATGAGTCAAATTTCTCGCTGTTTCGAACTACGATCAAGGTCTGATCGTTAGGTTAACACTGTAAATTGTAAACAACTAATAAATTGAACTAAAACAATAGCATTTACCTGAACGATAGCATTGAAATGTCAACGGGTCATTTTAATATCTAAACATGTAAACTACAGTGTTTATGAACAATAGACTTGAAGGCAGATTGAGATCAATTAGCAAATTATGAAATTCATTCCGAAAACATTCTACCTATATATGGGCTAAGGAGATATAACAGCTGTGATACTAATAATGATAACTTCCATGTATGTACCCAGCAAGCTGTATCATAGCTGTTGACTGGGCAATGTATGTACCCAGCCAGCTGTATCATAGCTGTTGACTGGGCAATGTATGTACCCAGCCAGCTGTATCATAGCTGTTGACTGGGCAATGTATGTACCCAGCCAGCTGTATCATAGCTGTTGACTGGGCAATGTATGTACCCAGCCAGCTGTATCATAGCTGTTGACTGGGCAATGTATGTACCCAGCCAGCTGTATCATAGCTGTTGACTGGGCAATGTATGTACCCAGCCAGCTGTATCATAGCTGTTGACTGGGCAATGTATGTACCCAGCCAGCTGTATCATAGCTGTTGACTGGGCAATGTATGTACCCAGCCAGCTGTATCATAGCTGTTGACTGGGCAATGTATGTACCCAGCCAGCTGTATCATAGCTGTTGACTGGGCAATGTATGTACCCAGCCAGCTGTATCATAGCTGTTGACTGGGCAATGTATGTACCCAGCCAGCTGTATCATAGCTGTTGACTGGGCAATGTATGTACCCAGCCAGCTGTATCATAGCTGTTGACTGGGCAATGTATGTACCCAGCCAGCTGTATCATAGCTGTTGACTGGGCAATGTATGTACCCAGCCAGCTGTATCATAGCTGTTGACTGGGCAATGTATGTACCCAGCCAGCTGTATCATAGCTGTTGACTGGGCAATGTATGTACCCAGCCAGCTGTATCATAGCTGTTGACTGGGCAATGTATGTACCCAGCCAGCTGTATCATAGCTGTTGACTGGGCAATGTATGTACCCAGCCAGCTGTATCATAGCTGTTGACTGGGCAATGTATGTACCCAGCCAGCTGTATCATAGCTGTTGACTGGGCAATGTATGTACCCAGCCAGCTGTATCATAGCTGTTGACTGGGCAATGTATGTACCCAGCCAGCTGTATCATAGCTGTTGACTGGGCAATGTATGTACCCAGCCAGCTGTATCATAGCTGTTGACTGGGCAATGTATGTACCCAGCCAGCTGTATCATAGCTGTTGACTGGGCAATGTATGTACCCAGCCAGCTGTATCATAGCTGTTGACTGGGCAATGTATGTACCCAGCCAGCTGTATCATAGCTGTTGACTGGGCAATGTATGTACCCAGCCAGCTGTATCATAGCTGTTGACTGGGCAATGTATGTACCCAGCCAGCTGTATCATAGCTGTTGACTGGGCAATGTATGTACCCAGCCAGCTGTATCATAGCTGTTGACTGGGCAATGTATGTACCCAGCCAGCTGTATCATAGCTGTTGACTGGGCAATGTATGTACCCAGCCAGCTGTATCATAGCTGTTGACTGGGCAATGTATGAAAGAAGCATACAGGTACCCGTGAATGAAATTCTTAGGGGATTATTAATTACAAAATGAGTAACTGAATTTATCTTAGAATTGCAAATTACACAGCATTTTCACAAGACCAGTTATATAAGAAAAACATAGCTAGGAGGTATAGTGGTGTATATTTACAGATATGTAGTCAAGTTGTTGATACGGAATGGATGAGTCCTTGACGAAGCGATGGTCACTCTGAGCCTGAGACAGCAGGTGAAGGGCTCGGTTAGTTACCAACAGAAATACAGTCTTGGCCTCTCCCTCCGTGTGACCAGTCCGTGAAGCAAACGCCTGTATATGGTATAAATGAAGAACTAGAATAGGGACTACATCTACACTACTCATTTGTACTGATGTTTACCAGGAAATTTTCGTCACAATTAAACGTCCAAATTATGGTGTATCTAAAGCTATCATTACCATGAATATTAGTATATACTACAACATACAATATAAAGCAGTAATATTTAAATGGCAAAATTTACACTATAGGTGAACATGGATTTTATCGGAAAAGGGCAAATATTGGACAGGGCAAAATCTTAAGTATCCTGGTATAGAGTTCTTCTTCTCATATAAGCACAGATTGCCAAGTAGAATGCTGAAGAAATGAATTCAGATTCTTTGAGGAGGAAATGGCACAAATTAATCATGACAAGATTCAGCAAAATGTAGGTTACAAGTCACTTTTATAACACATGATTTGACCTTGATGAATTGACCTCTGACCCTTGCTATATAGAGATTGCGACATACCTTGATAAACTCTTCGTCTGTATCATCAAACACGTCCAACATCAGGTATAGCTTTGTGTTGTTGTTCAATCTAAGGAAGACACAAATTTATATAAACATCACCTAAATTTCATGTTTAAAATATAACACAAGGCTATTGTATTTAATCCAAAATAGAGAAAGGCAAAACTCTTGATTAAACATTAAGAGAATATATTTTGAGAGCAAAAAGGGTAAAAAATTTGGAGGCAAACATGAAACAGTTATTTCTTATTGCCATAAATTGACAGTGTGTCTGTCCTAGCTATCTTAGCCTATATTGCCCTATATTGACCTAGCCTATATTTCCCTAGCCTATATTGCACTATATATATTGCCCTAGCCTATATTGCACTAGCCTATATTTCCCTGGGCCTATATTACCCTAGCCTATATTGCCCCAGCCAATATTGCACTAGCCTATATTGCCCTAGCCTATATTGCCCTATATTGCACTAGCCTATATTGCCCGCCTATATTGCCCGCCTATATTGTCCTAGCCTATATTGCCCTAGCCTATATTGCCCTATATTGCCCTAGCTAGTTTTATCGATTCTTAGTTTGTACTACAGATTTGTTGACACTTTGGTACATGTATATGCTCGGTTCTTTTTAATGAATAATATGCATATTGGTACTTACAATGATGGACATATGCTACCAAACAGTGAGATAAGTAATCTTAACAAAATTTATTCATACTTTTTCATATTTACTAATGTTTGTCCATTATTGGGCGGATTTACACAATCATCAGAATTCCTGACGATAGAGTTCTTGTAGTTTTGTTTTAATTGTCTTCTCTAAACACTTGACATTTTTCGCAAATGTTTACCTGACTTCATAAAAACGATTGTCTCACTTCCCAAGGCAGTGTTTTTTCAACTTAAACAGAAAAGGTATACCTGACTTCCCCTATCAAGGTATACCTGACTTCCCCTATCAATGTTTACCTGATTTCCCCTATCGATGCTTACCTGATTTCCCCTATCGATGTTTACCTGACTTCCCCTATCGATGTTTACCTGACTTCCCCTATCAGTGTTTACCTGATTTCCCCTATCAATGTTTACCTGATTTCCCCTATCGATGCTTACCTGATTTCCCCTATCGATGTTTACCTGATTTCCCCTATCGATGTTTTCCTGACTTCCCCTATCAATGTTTACCTGACCTCCCCGATCGATGTTTACCTGATTTCCCCTATCAATGTTTGCCTGATTTCCCCTATCAATGTTTACCTGATTTCCCCTATCCATGTTTACCTGATTTCCCCTATCGATGTTTACCTGACTTCCCCTATCGATGTTTACCTGACTTCCCCTATCGATGTTTTCCTGATTTCCCCTATCAATGTTTACCTGATTTCCCTTATCAATGTTTACCTGATTTCCCCTATCAATGTTTACCTGACTTCCCCGATCGATGTTTACCTGATTTCCCCTATCAATGTTTACCTGACTTCCCCTATCAATCAATGTTTACCTGATTTCCCCTATCGATGTTTACCTGACTTCCCCTATCAATGTTTACCTGACTTCCCCTATCAATGTTTACCTGATTTCCCCTATCAATGTTTACCTGATTTCCCCTCTCAATGTTTACCTCATTTCCC